AGAGGGTTACCCTGAATAACTTTTGATTCTAATGATAGGATCTTCACGGTTTAAGACTCAATCTCAATGGTTCGAGGGGGTGACCTCAAATATGCTAATGAATTAGTGGCTGACGATAATTTAATTTGCGAAATCAGACACAAAATTCTACTTTCTCTGAATAAACAAACCTTTTTTTCCCAACGGATTTGGATTTCTGACCCCCAAAATATAGGGGGAAAACGGAAAGTCAGGGAAATACGGCCCCCATAGTTTGGTCAGGAGAACGAACCAAAGTTTGGACCCCTTAATGTTAATTTTACTTTTTGCGTATTATTTTTAAGCGAAGTTAAAGATTTCTGCACGCAATTATAAAATTCGTTTGTCCAAACATAATTCTATGCAAAAATTTAATTTTAGTAACTATTTATTATTTTATTTAATAATAGTCGCAGAAATGCTGAATAGTCAGATATAAAATTTCTTAAAATCATTTCAAAGTATGCAATTTTACACGTCAAAATACGAAATTTGAGCATAATCGGTTGAGTAGTCCCTGAGAAATCGAATTTTAAATGCGCAACTCTTTTAAAATTCGATTCCTCAGGAACGACCGATTTCGTTGAAATTTTGTATTTTGCCAATCAAATTACATACTTTGAAATGATGTAGAAAATATATTTTGGATGTCAGAAATCCAAATACGCTGAAAAAAATCTATGTTTATTCAGAGAAAGTGGGTTTTTGTGTCTGATTTCGTAACTTAAAATATCGTCTGCACTAATTAATGACGCAAAATTTTGAACAAAAATAAAAGAAAATAAAACTGCTTTATTCTGAAAATGCTACTTTATCACAACACTTGTTTATTTTTTTAAGTTTAGCTGCAAATTTTGGGATTCTTCCCCGTAGCTTGTTTTAAATACTTGTTATTTCTCTCTTATCTTCTAAGTAAGTCTAAGTAAATGTTTCCCCTTCTTTTAAAGTTCGGACTGCCCTCTGCAGTGGATCAAAATTGTGATGGCATGTCTTCGGATCATCCTCAGGGATGTTTCCCAGACCGTCGCCAATAGCCCATTGCGCAGCTCCAGTGTTACGTAAATGAACAAAACAAACAAACAAACAATAAAGTCCGTGCTTTATGGGCAGGAAAAATTTCTACTTGGTTGACCGTAGTATTAGATATTGGCATTCAGCTTCGAAATGCTAACAGGGCTGTCCATTCGCGAACTAAAAACTAAAAAAGGCTTAGTAGATACCTTTATTCAAAATACCTGCAGAATAAAACTTATTTTTAGGTTGAAATATTATAATTACGTTTGTGACGATAAATATGCTCGATCATAGACTATTCCAAAACACGCAAGCGTCATTTCGTCAACAAACCATCTACGGTTAGACTTAGGTGGTCGACTACCAGACGGCTATGCGATTTTCAATAGATCTTTCTTGGAAGTTGTACTGCTGCGAAATGGACGTTTATGAGGCAACTATATCGATCACCTTGGATGTCATTTTATATAATTTCAAACTGTGTTATTTTGAATTACAATATTTTAAGGAGAGCCGCGATGACTCAGGGGATAGAGCATTCGCTTTCCAATGAAGAGAACCGGGTTCGAATCCCAGTGATGGTTGGTCGATACGAATCCGCATCCGGTTTGCATCAACCACAGTGCTGACGTGTAATATCCTCGGTGGTAGACGGATCATGTTCCTCACGAAGGCAAATTTCTCCCACTACTTGATACAGGAGTTTCCACGTCTCCTGGATTGGGATCAAAATTACAAGGCTACGGATTTGAACATTAGTAGTCGTAAACCAAAAAATTGGGTCGGCAGTTCAACGACTGTTATAAGATGTGAAGTAAAGTATAATAAAATACTTTAATGAGATTGGTTAAATGTTTTCTGAATAATAAAATTTCAAAAAATTTGATTCTCTAAATTTTCATTTCTGAGGAATTATTGGATTGATTTTGTTAAAATTTTATATTTAAAAGTACATAGTTAAAATGATATTGTTAATTATATAGTACTGACTTAAAAGTTAGCATACTTCACGATTCAAAAAATTTTCGTTTATTACTAAAAAAAGCAATAAATTATTATTAAAAAAAATATTCTGTTTATAAAAAGAAGAGTTACGATTCTGTGCAAAAATTTTTCGGTTAGATTAAAAGTTTCGCTTAAAATGTGAACACAAAAAGTGAAATTAACATTAAAGGAAGTTAACTAACAACCGCTTTTCTTTCTAAACTATTAAAACCATATTTTTCAGATTGTGACTTTCTTCTATATTTTGATATTAAGAAATGCAAATTTGTCAAAAAGGTATGTTTATTCAAGGGAACTATTTTTTTTTTTGCGTTTCTTTTCGTATTTTAATTTATAATTGGCTTTAATTAATTAGCATATTTGAAGTCAACCCTTTGAACCATTAAGATTAGCCTTTAGATAGTTAAATTTCTATTATTAGAACAAAGTTACTTAGGATGCGTTCCACAGTGGGCACTTCGTAAGTCGTGGTACACAGTAGATGAATGAAAAAGTCTTTAAATAGGATAATAGTTAATAGCATCACCATTAAATGGGATAATAGTTAATACTCTCTAATAGTATCACTGGTTGCTGTTAGAGAGCAGGTGGGGGATCACTATGATCAGCCTTAGAAAAGACCGAGTGTGCGCGATATCAGTCCTCATTAAATTGCTTTACAGTTAAGTGCTCGACTTCGCTTTTAGATCGTCGGGCTACCCAAAGTGGGAGTGCCATCCCCTCTACAGTGAATCAAAATTGTGATGGCATACCATAGGATCATTCCGGGATGTTTCTCGCCAATGTCACCAATGCCGCCAATAGCCTAATGTGCAGCTTTAGTGTGATGTAAACAAAGAGCTTCTACTACTAAGTAAAGCATTTCGGCAACAGCCCGTTGTGGGCCAGGAGAGGTCATGGAGGTTAAGGCTCCACAATTTCATGACCAACGGCATGATTGTGGCAATATGGTCAGCACTGCGCTCACTTTTACTACCAATCAGGGTGATATTTTTTTATTGACTCATTGTACAAACAACCTCATTGAGACCTGCTGCTCATGGATGGTGATTGCAATCACGAAGTAAGTGTAAAGAAATGCTATGAAATACATCTAGAAAATTTCCTACTAGAAAGTCACCATTAGCTTATATTTTTGCCTATCTTACGTTCTGACGAGACGATAGTTTCGATACTCGATTTTGTTTTTATCGAAATATAAAAGTAAACAAGAGTATAAACTTAAATTTTTCATGATTCATCAGATATCTATTCTATCATTTGATCTTGGTAAATAATAAAGAAATATCGTTTAAAATTATTTGGATTTCGATTTTTTAAGGAAGTGTCACGGTTGCCTAATTTTCCAAGAAATCTCTTATTTGGCAACTTTGATTTGGTTACATTTTTAATTTTTTTGATTGTTGTGCTATTGCAGTTATAGCATAGCTAGGTAATTTTTATCTTGCACGTATTATTTCAGCCACATAATGTTTTCTTTTGAGTAGCAATTTTGTGCAAGTTATCAAAATTGGAAGCAAGTTCTTTCATTGCTAGGTAATACTTGTTTCATAGCTCACGTGTTGTTGTTTTTTAATATTTAGTACAATATATTTTTTTAAAATTAAATTAATATTCTTGTCATTACAGTACTTTTTATCATGATATACATGAAATTAGGACATATAAATAAGGAGCAATCGTCACTGGAATGATTGAAATATCAGATCAAGCAGTGAGCAACAAATCAACAAGTGAACGCACGACGAATGGTGAGATGTTGTTGTTGTTAATTTACGTCGCACTAGAGCTGCACAATGGGCTATTGGCGACGATCTGGGAAACATCCTGGAGGATGATCCGAAGACATGCCATCACAATTTTGATCCTCTGCTGAGGGGATGGCACCCCCGCTTCGGTAGCCCGACGACTCGCGCGCGAAGTCGAGCACTTTACGGTAGCACAGTTTAACGAGGACCAATACCGCACACCCTCGGTCCCTACGCAGACTGATCCAATTGGTCACCCACCCGCACACTAACCGTAGCCAGTGATGCTTGACTTCGGTGATCTGCTGGGAACCGTGTCTTAACGATCAGTCCACTGCGGGACACGAATGGTGAGAGAGTAGACCGGATGTAATAACATGGCAGTTTTTCTGAAGGAAAGATTGCAGCGCCATCTGTTGCAGAAATTACTATACATATCACTTTTATCTTCACACTTTAAAAATGTGGGTGATTCACCCAAAATAGTGCGTGATTCACATCTTATGGAGCATTCTCATTGAATGCGATTTGCATATGCGACAGTATGTCAATGCGATTTGTGCATGCTCATCTTACATGTAATTAATACATATTCGCACGTGCGTCTAGTGCGATATCGCGTATACTGTGAATGCTTCCGTATTTTATGACCAGCCAGACTCGTCCGACGTGATCGACGTCTGGTGAGTCTTGAGAATGGGCTTCTATTTTTGAGAGGGTGCATCATGACAATTTTTCTACTATTATATTTTTCTTAAACACATGAAATTTTTATACTATGAAGTGTATCTTTCCGTTTAAAATCTTTGGAATAATATTCTTTTAATCTTTTACTATATTGATTATGTTCCCATTTTAGTTTTGTTTTCTTAATTATTAAATTCATTTTAATTGCTTTACGGATTAACAAAGACCACCAAAACTTTATCACGAAATGGACGTGAATATTTAAACATTATGCCTATTGCACAACTTATAGCATTCAACAGGGAATGCTATTCTTTTCTATTTGAACTAGTAAACTGAAATTCAATCTATAAATTAAACAACTTGAGCTTTTTAGTATAAAATATCTGAAATACTAAATGTAAATAAAAAAATAAAATTTAATGTATAAAAAAGCATGATTGCTTGGTTTAGCTTTAATGAGATTAATATGAATGATAGAAACGGGTGCTAATGTAAATTTATATGAAAAAAAATGCAAAAACAACATTTATTAAAACTTTTATTAATAAATTATTTTTCAAGTAAGCTTGTAACATTAGACTTATAAATATTAATGTAAATACTGTGTGTCATAACACATGTTCCCACCGATATAAGACATAGAAGAAAATCATGTTTAATTTAAAAGAAAAAAAATCACACAAGAATATATAAATATTATGACTGATGTTTTTGACCGGCACCTTTCATCAGAACACTACAAAATAACAAAATCATAAAACCTAAACCCAGAAAAAAGACTTTCAACAAGCGAGGACCTGATTCATTAAATTCTGCAGGGATTACTTCTAAAAATGTTACATGAATGAAAGTTCCAGCAGCAAGTCCTTGTAGAACTGCACTTACTGCAACAGCAGTTACGGATTGATAATGGCCAATCAACAGTCCAAGAATCTGAAATTAAAAAATATCACTATTAAAATTTTTATTTAAATATTTAATTTGAATATATTAGTGACATAAATATTTTTTGAAATAATAGACATTTAAAAATAAGCAAAGTTATTAAAACATAAAAAGGAAAAAAAAACCCTCTTTATTTTAAGATGTAAATTGTTTTTATTTATTAATTGTTAAATTTCACAGTGGATCTCCTTTTTCAGAAGTGCGGTTGAAGTTGAGTTGATATTCGCGGTAGAGAATGACTGGATAAAAGAGGAAGAGACTAAAATTCACTTTTACTAATAGTTTTTACTACTAAAATAATTAAAAACTGAAGTAACTAGTGATTTATACTTAACTACAATATATTTTCTTGAATAATTTTGCCTTTTTTTTTTCTGACAGGTCAATGTAACTTAAAAAAGGTTTATGCAATGGGAAGTTTTTTGACCGCAACGAACTTTCTTTTTTAGGGCAAAATTTTTAGATGAAAATTTTGCAGCTCATTAATATGAAACTTTTCCCTTTTTTTGTTGAATTTTTGTTGTTGATATTTTTTATTGTTTGTTGGTATGTAGCAGGTATTCTTAATAAATAACGTTCAACTGCGCTTTTTTATAAAACATCACTAAACGACTGAAATGACTGAAATACTGTAACTTTGGTTCTAAGTGAAATAGACAATTGATAAATTGACATTTTTATACTATAAATTTGTTGATCTAAAAACCAAGGAAAAAGGGCAAATGTTTCTCAAAAAATGAAATTTTTTGATTTATGGTTACAGTTTATTTAAAATCATATCAAACAGTTTAAATAATGAAAATCTAATAAAATTTGACTAAATCATTTTCAACACATAACTGGAGAAGACATTGACACTAACAACTAAGAACAATTGGTAGATAGTCAAGAACAATAAAATGGAAACTTTACTAAAATTGCGTCAAAACTTCTACTACATATTTTTGTCAGTAAGTTTTTTGAAATATGCAAACTAAATAAATAAATTAAGAAAAAAATGTTACCTATAGTGGATCGCAAAAAACTCCGACAAGTATAATGTTATTTTAATTTGATTACACAAGAAAAAAAAATTAAAATTATTTGATTTTAATACAGAATTAGTCTTTATATTGATCGTTTAAAAGATTTATGTATCTTTTCAAAGTTATGCATAAACAGCTAAAAGCTGAACTTATATGCATAAACAGCTAAAAGCTGAACGAAGCTATAAGTATGGCCTGACCGGCGCCTTTTGCACGCTTCTGTTTTAAAGTGGAAGTGCTGTCGCATTATTTTATTTGGACAAAGTTGTTTATCCTTTTCAATGAATTCACGAAATTAGTAACAATTTAAGCGAAAGAGCAAATATATTCATAACAAGCAGGTGGTTTTTCAAAGACTGAAGATTGATTTAAAAACTATACCTAATCAAAAATAAAGAAAAAATAATGGAATTTGGACAATGGTCAGTTGATTTTTTTATTGCAATAGTTCAACGATATCAACTAGCAATCTTAGAGAAATTGAGGTTGTAAGACTTTTTAAAATTGCTCCCTAAGCGTCACAATGTAAAAGAAAAGGTTTTCGAAATTGTTGATTCTTAAAAAACTCTCAATTGATTATGTTTGTTTGTGTAAGATTTATCCATTCTGTATCAATTTTAGTTTCGTAAAAAAATATAACTGGAGCAAGAGCAAACAAACAACTGAAGTATCAAATCCTTCCAAACATCTTATTTTTCAAAATATCGGTTTCTAAATTTTCAATATAATGCTAACAAAAAGTAAAGAAATCTACACAAGCGAGTAAATAATAAATTATTCACAAGTTTCTATGTAGAGAAAAATGCCTAGTTTACTAACAATGGATATTTGAATGATTCAAGAATTTTAAAAGTTTTGATACTGACAATGAACACAAGATCTTTAAACATTTTATTTATCCGAATTCTATAAATTTGCATACAATAAATATTCGGAAAAAAAATCGAAGTATAGGATTTAGAATACTTTAAAATTTTGATAACATGACAGAATATAAAATCTAAAAGAAACATTTTAGTAACAGAAAATGTGATAATTCGACTAAAATGTAGGCTGAGATAAATCTTTAACTGAAGTCGGATTTTTAAATAACATTTATCAATGCACAAAATAAATGTATAGCAACTGAGGGGAAAGAGTGCTTGCTTTTGGCTTAGATGACCCAGCTTCTAATAGACGTCTGGAATGGGGCCGAACATCTAAACTGTTTTATTTTCCCCGTAAATTTTTACTTAATGTTTTGTTGTTATTCGAAACCAGAAAAAAGGCTCAAAAGGTTCATCAAAAATGCTTCAAGAAAGAAGTTCAAGAATGCTTGAAGAAAGAGATTCAAGATGCACGTTTCAGAACTGGTATTGGTGTACATTTTGGACAAAGTTGATAGGCAAATATTTATGTTTCGGATGTAAGCTTGGTTAACAGTTTACTTCGCTACGTCAAAAAATGAAAAGATGACTAGTTGTCCATAACGACAATTGTTGGTTGATTTCTGACTAACTCCCGGCTCTCACCAATCACAGAGGTCAAGTATCCTCATTGGCTGGTGGATCATAGCATATAAGTCAATTGCGATTAGTCTACCTGTGGAAGGTTTAGTCGTTTTCCTCTACATATCTTGAATGAGTTTTTTTAGACTAAAACCAAAATTACAAGATATGAAGAGATCGAGGAAACAGATAACTGATGAATAGATTCAAATAAAAATAATCGAAACAAAATGGTGAGAAATGAAGGAAAGAAGATGGTAAAAAATAAGAAATGAATTTGAGAAGTTGAGGATGTGGGCTGAACTTAAGACATTATGAAGGAATCTTTTAATCGCGGCGAAAAAGATTCTGTTAAAATATCGAACTGTACGGTAATTACATTTCTGGTTAAAATCAAACAAACGTAATTCTGGTGATAAAAACAAAAGTATACGGTATTTAAAATATTTTGTCATTTCTTTCATTCATATATGGTAACCACTGGAAATATTGGTTTTCAAAATTATAGTTTTCATTACCACACAATTAGTAAAAATACAAATTGAAGTGAATAAATGGGTCTTTATGCCATGTTCTAAGGTATCATGAAAAAATTGACAAATTTTACCGTATTTACCAAATTTTAACGCATATTAAAACACGATGTTTTGCTGTTTATTTTACAAAAATCATCCCCAAAGCGCTTTGATAAAAATTGCCCAGCTTTTTAGTGTTTCCATTGTGCCAGAAACATGGTAAATTTTACAATATTCCGATAGTTTTGACCATATTTTGTTTTTCTGTGATGAATACGATAGTCCAAATACAACATGCTGTTTCGAAGCTACTGTGAAAAAAAGGAACCATCAAGCGCGTATTAAAGAAAAGGAATCTCTGTATAAAAGTAAAGATTCTAAAAGAGTGGCTGCTGTTTACATTATACCTACAGCAAAAAATTTGGCAAACCAAACACCAGCATTACTAATCAGAATTTTGAAGTTAACATACAGTGGAGCTCAAAAGTCTCGGCCAACTGTATTGTTATTTCAACTAGATTACAATAAAAAATAAGATGTTTATAATTTGATGATTATGAATAATTATTTGTGTTTTAATACAAAGTAGTTTCTATATGACCCTTTTATAAGCTTTCTGCATTTTTTTTTAAAGTTTTGTGCATAAACAGTCAAAAGCTGAAAGAAGCTATTAATACTAGCCGGATAATTTTGTGTGCGAAATTTTATTTACTATATATCTCATTTGTAATTAGTTATTGTATCTATCTCTCATTTTTGTAAGATGAGAAACGTTTGCTTGTCAATATGCTTCAAATATATGAATTACATATTTCTTCTTTTAAAATTTAGTTCATAAAATTAAAAGTTAAAATTCTAATAAAAGTTTGTGAAAGGAAATAAAACGATTTTAAGAATAATTACTCTTGACTATACTTACATATAACTAATGGTGGACAAATAATCATTGATTTGAAATTTAGTAGACTTTTTTTTTTATTAAAAATCATTAGTTACTTCCCTATGATTGACACAAATTTAATTTATCACATAAAAAAATAAAATATTCTGCTTTAGATTTCATGTTCCTCTTAAGCAAGTCGATAACCAGTTCACAATTATTTGCATAAAAATAAAATAACTTGCATTTTAAAAAAAATGGAATAGAAAATGAATAACATTTTTTGATTTCAAATGATTGGTTACTTCCCCTTGATTGAGACAATTTTAATGCATCACATTAAAAAAAACAAAAACAATTCTATTTTAGATTTCATGTCATGTTCATTAATCAAATCGATAACTAGAAAACAATTAATAATATAGAAATAAAATAGTTGGTATTTTAAGAAAATGACTGGAAATTCAATAAACTTTTTCTATTACAAATGATTAATTACTTCCCTATGATTGATACAATTTTAATGAATCACATTAGAAAAGAAAACAATCTGTTTTAAAGTTCATGTTCCTCTTAAGCAAGTCTATAGCGAGAAAACAATTATTTGTAAAGAAATAAAATAACTCGTACTTAAAAAAATGAAAATGATTTCATCTGAATGTATTAAAAATTTTTTAACTAATATATTTGTTACATTATAAAAAAATATTTGTATAACATGAATATTTTTCAAGCCTGCCATGATTTTGTTTTGAAAAGAATAGAATATTACATTTGGACCCTTTATGACCCGCCTTTTCCATGCCTTTCATTTTCATATTGTTTTCCAACAGCTGCAAATGAAAGAGTACTTTCGCCCACACACATTTGATTGAGGAGATATGATGATAATTCTTTTCATAACTTTGATTTGTGACGTTAGGCGCACGTGATAAATGCATTTATGACTATTGTGAGAGATTTTAATGCAGCAATGCAGTAAAGCCAAAACGCTCAGAATTGAATAAAAAGCTATAAAAATTAAGCGTAGAAAGGGAATACTAAGCACTTTGTTTTTTTTTATTATTATAAATTGAAAAAT